TAACCCCAGCACTGTGGCCAGGCAGATGATTCTGAGACACTGCTGATGAGTCAGCTCAGCCAGGAAGGCAAGCTTCCAGTTGAGTGAGACCTGTTTCAAGTAGTAAGGGAGCCGGTTCCAGAGGAGGCCAGCTGATTTTGCTTGTGCCTCTGATTGTGTACACACAGGTCTCTACAGCCTTTGATTGTGTACACACAGGTCTCCACACCCATACTCACGCACATGCACCTACCACACATCACTCGCACACAAAATTTAAAGTAATAATAAACAAATTAACTTTTACCAAGCCCGAAAGAAGAAACAAACAACACAAATGAACACCTGCCTAGCATTCCTGTTGGCCTGCATTCAACACTCAGCCCCAGGCAGACAGACACACCCCGGGGTGGGGGCTGGGACAGAGAAGGGGGGAACCCCACGCATTTCAACAGATAAAGGGAAAGTGTTGGATAAAATTCAACATTTGTTCCTGATTTTTCAAACTGACAGCACTTGCTGCTCATACAGATGACGAGGGCCCAGTGCCCAGCGCCCACATTAAGCAGTTTGCAGTCCACTCTAATCCCACCTCTGAGGACTCCATATTTGATGCCTTCTTCTGGCCGTCAAGGGCACCTGCTCATGCAGGTGCACACAAGCATGCGCTCACGCGCACACACACACACACACACTGTACATCTTTTAAAAACCCTTGGTAATTTTGACTATAAGAGGACACACTCAGCCTTGTAAAAGTGACCCATGATGGCTGGGGCAGGTGTGCCTTCCCTGATGCTGTCAGTATAAGCAGGCTGACCTGAAAGAGGGGAAGCAAGCACTTGCTCTCTTTGACTCTGTATTGCTCAGGTTCTGTCCACTCAACACAAACCTGAGTCGTTTGGGAAGAGGGAACCTTAGCTCAGATGCCTCTATCTCCATCTGACTGGCCTGTAGGCAAGCCTGTGAGGCATTTTTTGATGAACGATTGATGTGGGAGGGCCCAGTTCACAGTGCTCTGGACCATCCCTGGACAAGTAATCCTGGGCTGTAAAAACCAAGCCAAGCAATCCTTAAGGAGCAAGCGTGGTGTAGGAGGTTCTGTTTGTGTGTGGCTTTCATTGGTTGAATAAAGAAGCTGCCTTGGCCTTTTGATAGGGCAGAACTCAGGTAGGTGGAGTAGACAGAACAGACTTCTGAGAGGAAGGAAGCAGAGACGGGGAGTTGTCATGAAGGTACCAGGTCATACATGCTGAATCTTTCCCGGTAAGCCACGGCCTCGTGGTGACATACAGATTATTAGAAATGGGCTGAATCAAGATGTGAGAGTTAGCCAATAAGAGGCTAGAGCTAATGGGCCAGGCAGTAATTTAATTAATTTTGGTGTGGTTACTTCAGGGGTTAAGCTAGTCGGGTGGCTGGACGCAGCCCGCTCCTCCTACTACACAAGTGGGACCAGCATTCCTTCAGTCTGTGCCTCAGCTCCTGCCTCCAGTTCCTATCTAGAGTTCCTGCCCCGACTGCTCAGTGATGGACTGTTACCTAGAAGTGTGAGCTGAAATAAATTCTCCTCTCCAAGTTTCTGTTAGTTAGGGAAGGACGGAGCAGATGCCATAACAGGCTGATCACTCTTCTCTCAGAGACCAGGCCTCAATTCCAGTTTTCAGAGACTGAACAAGTGGTTTCTTAGGAAAAGCCAAGAACAAAGGACAATCAATATTCAGCACCCCCAACAGCCAGGAGGAGGCCTGGTACACGCAGTCCCAGGCCAGGCCAGGCCTGAGCCAGCCCCCACAGCAGTTCAAAGACAGGGCCTGCCCCCAATGGAAAACTGTAGCCCTGACCAACCCTGGCTAGCCCTGGCCAATGAAGACGTACTAATATGATCATATCTAAATATGTCAATCATATCTAAAATGACCCAACTTCCTTAGACAATCCCCTCAGTATGGCTTAAAAGATGCTCCTGCCTCCTTCTCGGGTGGTTGCCATCTTGCCCTTGTATAAGATGGTAGAACCCAGCAGGCTGGAATAATAATAAAATCTCTTGGTGGTTTTTGGGGGTCCTGACTCTGGGTACAGCAGTTAGTGTTTCATCATAGCAATAGAAAGCGACCTAGATAGTCGTAATCTGCAGAACCACATGAATATGACTTTTAGAGTGGGAATAATACACACACACACACACACACTACAAAGTATCTTCTTACGGAACTGTAATGTCTTAATTGGATTGACAAGCATGGTTCCTCTAGAATGCCTCACATCTACAGCCTTTGGCATCTGAATTGTACAGGGACACTTAGCTGACTCAAAGTGGTGGCCCACATTCTTCTGAACCCCGCCCCCAATCATCACTTAATAATCATTTGTACGGTCATTCAGTGTCATTTTCATGTTTCTCAAAAGTCCAAGACTAGCACATCCCCCTTAATCTCCAGCAATCTGGCATCTGCTTAGCGTGCTTGTGGTTGTCTGACTGGGTTTGTTTGTTTTTTTCCCCCTTAAAAATATGAAGTAGCAGGACTGGGGAGATGGCTCAGTTACTGAATTCAAGAGAACCTGAATTCAATCCCCAGCGTGCCTCTAAAAGGGGTACACATCTGTAAAGCCAGCACTGGAGGGCTCAGGAGACAGGCGGGTAGCCAGAACGCAAGAGCAAACTAGCCTGGCTTGATTAGCTCCAGGTTCACTGAGAGATGCTTTCAAAACTAAGGTGAGGAAGGCGGACACAGTGACTCACACCTGGAATTCCAGCACCTGGGAGGAAGAGGCAGGAGGATCTTTGTGTTTGAAACCAGCCACAGTCTACACAGTAAGTTCCAAGCCAGTCAGGGCTAGCGAGACCCTGAATCACGAAAGAAGGGGGAAATACAATCGAGGAGGTAACAGATGTCCACTGCTGGCCTCTATAGCACATGCACACATGTGTATAGGCACACACACACGTTTCTGGGCTTCTAATAAATGATCCACGTAGTTCCACACTGTTTTCTGATAAAACCTGTTAGGAAGGCTGGGGTGTGAGGCTCGCTGACACTATGCAGCTTGTCCGGTTTCAAAGCTGGCACATGGCAGAACAGGCACCTCCCTGATTTGGCTATCTCTCTGCAGAGGGCAGCACCCCCTTCCTGAATATTGTGCTCTGTGGAGTTCCCCTCGACACCGAATGGCTTCTCATCAAAACACACTGAATGCCTACTCAGTAACAACAACCTGTCCCTACTCATTCTGGAAATAAGGCTTGTATCTTATCTAAAAATAATAAGCACTCAAATTTATGGATTAAAACGTTAAAAATCAAGACCTACTGAGGATTTCATGTTGTAAGAGTGGTTCTTACACTGGTTGTAAGAATCCATGAAAGCAATCTGTTTGTTATAATGGTGTCAGGATCAGCACTTAGACACAGTGCAGTTTTGAGAGGTGGAGACAGCAGGGTCAGGAGGATCAGGAGTAAGGGGTTTCATCAGCCTCATAGTCTGGGCTACAGGACTCTGTCCCCAAAATAAACCAACAGAACAAAAAGCCAAGTGTGCTTCACTTACACTGACAGCGTTGATGTCCGAGATGTGTCCTGTGAAAGACTGTCTACACATGCCGTCCCGGACATCCCACAGCTTTGAAGACGCGTCACAAGCACCAGAAACAAAGGTCTTCAGGTCAGGACTCAGGGAGAGACTCATCACGTCACCCGAGTGTCCTGCGAAGGTCGTAGTCTGCTGCCCCGTCTCGATGTCCCACAGAGCACTGTGAGGAAATACAAGGGGAGACACAAAATGACCGCATCCCGACCCAGGGTCTGTGCCCACGAAGACAGGCTTCTTTGGGAAGGAACTCACCAAGTTGTGTCTCCTGAGCTGGTGATGATCTGTCCATCATCTAGGAAGCGACAGCAGGACAAGTAGCCTGCAGCGGAGAGCAGAAATGTCAGGCCATCGATCCAGTAACCAAGGAACGGGATAAAAACCTATACTCGGGCAACAGGGCCTTGTCAGTGGGTCATGTGGCTCTGTTGTAATGGTTCCTCACTGTCTTTTTTTTTCTTTGATTTTTGATAGCAATTTATTGATCGCTTATATCATCTGTGAGCCAGATGGGACTCGAACTCGGGTCCTCTGGCGGAGCATTAGGCGCTCTTAGCCTCTGAGCTACCGCTTGGGCTGCTTAGGAATTGAACTCAGGACGTTTGGAAGAGAAGGCAATGCTCTTAACCACTGAACCATCTCTCCAGCCCCCTCACTGTCTTCTGAGGCTCTCATGCATCACACAGGAGCACTCAAAGTGGCCACGTCAAGCACGGTAGCCTGTTAGCAGCAGCACAGTGTTTAACCTTGATACTGTGACCACAACACTGTCATCTACAAAATTCATGCTTAAGAGCCAATCAGTTGGATTTTTAAAAATTGTGAGGAGTGTTTTTATTTTCAGTATATTTGTGACAGTGTGTTGGGCTGCATTCATAGCTTCCCTGGGCTCCATGTAGTCTGTAGGTTGCAGGTTGGACACACCCGAGAGAATGTGCTCCTATAGCCTATAACCTATGGCAGAATGGGCCCAGCACTGAGGAAGACCCTAAAAATACTGTGAAAGCGTTATGGGAAATGCAACATCTGCATGATTCCTGTCCTTCAGCATGCCAGAGTCCCCAAACGGCAGGGAAACACTATTGTGAGACCCTGCAGAAAAGTGGTCAGCTGGCAGCACCCAAACCACAGACAGGAAGGATAGGAGTGGCAGGGGCCTCCTGGGGACTAAGCACCGCTGCACGGTGACAGTGCTGCAGGTGACATAATGCTTCCACCTGCACGGACAATACAGTCCTGAACCTTGTTCCAGGGCAGCAGACAGTGCAGAAGGCTGGATTTGCTTTCTTTTGTATATTTTAGGATTGTCTGGACTTTGGGGGCAGCAAAATTTATCATGTTTACAAAGCAATACAGTTACATTTGAAAGAAGAAAACAAAGGGGTAGGAGTCCACCTCCATGCAGGGCGCATGCTCAGTGAGCTCAAGGCCCTAGAGGCAGCCCCCCCCCCCCCCCCCCGCAACAAAATGAAGTAACAATGACCACCAGCACATGCCCTCTGGGAGCTAGTACTTTTCAAACCACAGTAATTACTGCTTCCCTTTTCCTCTAGACACAATCCGCCATGTATCCTTGCTCAGCTCTCAGGAAGTGGGAGATGGGGGGCCGATCGAGGTGGGGGGGGATGGCTCACCCGTGTGCCCGCTGTCAGGAAGGGGGAGACGGGGGATCGAACAGGGCAAATGGCTCACCTGTGTGCCCGCTGTCAGGAAGGGGGAGACGGGGGACCGAACAGGGGCAAATGGCTCACCTGTGTGCCCGCTGTCAGGAAGGGGGGGACCGAACGGGGCAAATGGCTCACCTGTGTGCCCTGGCAGTTCTCTGCTCACCCGCACGTTCCCCTCACGAGTCTTCAGATTGTATATGGAGCAGATGTTGTCCAAGCCCCCACAGGCAACATAGTTCCCGGATGGGGCATAGGCACAAGTCATCACCCAGGAAGACCTCAGCGGAATGGCATGCATCTACCACACAAACAATGCCCAGAGGCATGGGGTTCGTTATGGGGGAAAGACTACAAGGGTGTTCAGTGCACCCCTAAACCTGCGTAGGATGAGGCAAGCTTTGCTGGAAATCAGGCACAGCGAAGAACAGGCAGGAGCTTGGGAAAGGAGGCCACGTGACCTGGAAACACCACAGGCACATCGGATGGATGCCCCTTTCTGTGTTAGCAGGTCACCTGTATTTGAAGTGTTCATTTTAGGGATGGTTTTGTTTTTAATTATGTGCCTGTGTGATAATGGGCAATGCCCTCAGAACCACAGGCACTGGATACCCTAGAGCTGGCACTACAGGGAGTTGTGAGCCCTGGATGTAAGTTCTAGAAGACAGCAGCAAGAGCTTTTAACCAAGTGAGCTGCCTCTCCAGCCGCAGAGCCCTTCCAGTGTTTTAAATAAAAGCAAAGCTATACGTATTCTGTTTTTAATTTTTGAGAATCTGTCTTCATAAATAGCCCCGTTGGCCTGGAGTTACTTATGTAGACCAGACTGGACTCAAAGAGATCTACTTGCCCCTGCCTATTGAATAAGATGTAAAATATGAGTAAAGATTTTAGCAAAATCATTGGCACCTAACGCTCAAAGGAGGAATCTCCTGTACTGAACACTGAACCATAAAAGGGAGGGAACTGAGAAGGGACAGAGCCAGTTCGAGTGGCTTTTCCCAGGGGGCTGCATGAGTGCCCTTGTAACAGGCAACCATTCCAGAGTCTCAAGGAGACTTAGAAGCAGGTCAGGTGGAATGGCTGAAGGTGTCTGATCTACCAAGACTAACCCCACACAGGGTGTCCCCACATCCTGGGACAGATACTACCACGCTTCCTCTTGACCTAAAATCCCATCATAAAAGTGTATCTGTTTTTCTGGTTTAGGTTTGAATAAGACTAACTTAATACCAATTAGGATACAAAAGCTGTTAGCTTACAAATTAGTCACCTTTAAAGTCTCACTCAGGCTGAGTGTGCAGCTCATGGGCACGGCACCTGCTGTGTACGGGCAAGGTCCTGCGTCTCGGCCTCAGCACTCCAGAGGGGAGAGGCTTAAGGACTATTCACCTCACCAAATACTGCTTCCAAGTGCACAGTCAATTACTGCTAATGCATACAATGTACAAAGCACGTGACTTACAAAATATGTCCCCCTCCATGTTTTCACTGCTACTCAGCAACCTGAAATCAAGGATTCCTCACGCTGGGTACAGTGAGAAAATCCAGATTTTCACTACTAGATTTCACCAAATTCAATGTGTCTATCTTCTACGTCACCCAGAAAAGCGAAGTGTCCCCGGAGTAAGCCAAGGAAAAGCTCTCCAGGAACCCTCACCAATAATCTACCCCAAACCAAAAGGTCAGGCTTATTTCATCTAGGAACTGGAAATTGTAAAAGTTCGCATCAATATAACAATGACGGTCTTCACAAGGCAGGTGTGGTGCTGCACGGCTGTAAACTCAGCACTGAGGAGGTAGAGGCAGGGCAACTAAGAGCTGAAGGCCAGCCTCAGCTACATAGATTTCAAGACTAGCCTGGGCTAAATAGGAGCCTGTCAAAGAGGGAAAGTGGAGTGGGGGGAACAAACAGAGAGGAAGGGAGAGGGGGAGAGAGGGAGGGAGGGAGGGAAGCTCAAACTGACACTGACATTGTTCTTACAGTGTGTCCCTAGAAATGAAAAGAGCTCAACACTGAAAGCGAGAGTGTCCTAATAGCTGGTCCAGATCTAGACTAAATTCATCTCAGAAGGAGGGGCTCTGAATGAGAAGGAACTGTCAGGCGGTAAACAAATACAAGATCATTTAAGAGAAAGATGAAGAAATTCTACCTTATTTGTTGTATAGCTATCCCAAATAATTAATTTTCCATCTTGGGATGCACTGACTAGTAGCCTAGAGGAGAAACACAAGAACAATTGGACACTGAGAGGAAAAATGGTTAATTAGTTATGCATTTCATCTTTGAAGGACACTTCAGATGAGAACACAGTAAAACCTGTATACCGAAATAACTTTTCTGCCAACCTTTAAAAACGTGATGTTCCATGCCAAACGCTTAGAGCAGAAAGTAGAATATCTAGCCATTGGCTAAAAGAGTTTGTGTCTACGATTCAGGTTTTCCCTTGTGACATTTTAGCTACCCATAAAGGTTTCCGTGGATACTAGTGGAGTAGCTTAGTACTGACTGACAGGTTTAGTGACCAGGAGATCCAGATTCAATATCCACATCCCATCAGCCCAGGCTGTCACCCGAGAGCCTGCTGTGGGTACCGTGGAGGCCAAAGAGATGAAAGGACTACATTAAGGGTTGTTGCATTAATAAAACGACAATGTGTGTGCTGGGCGTTAATAACAAGTGTCTTTAGTCCCAGACAGGAGGATGCAGGCAGGCACAGGTGGATCTCTGGGAGCTGGAGGCCAGCCTGGTCTACAGAGCTAGTTCTGGGACAGTAAGGGCTACACAGAGAAACCCTGTCTCAAAAAATAGAAACAAACAACAAAAAAGGGCAATGTGTAGGAAACGGAGTTTTAACGTTTTTTGTACTTTTAACTATGTATACGTGTGCTTGTACACACACTGGAGTGTAGGTGCCATGGAGGCCAGGGTGTCAGATCTCCTGGAGCTGGAGTTGGTTGGTGTGGGTGCTGGGAATCGAACTTGGGTCCTCTGGAACAGCAGTACATATTCTGAACCACTAAACTATCTCTCCAGCCCCAGAAACTGGCATTTCCGAGAACTAAAGATAAAATGTATCCTACGAGGGGTAATGATGAATGAACAGAGACAGGAAAATTCTGGGGAGTCCCAGGACCTGGGGCCTTCCCGTCATGCAGCTGGAAACACAGATGGGGCTTATGCTGCAGAGAGTTTATGAGAAAGCCCCACCGATTTATGAATTCTTGACTATGTGGTCACTGGATTTTTTTGTTGTTGTTGTTCTGTTCTGGAATTTTGCTTTAGAAGAGAGGGACAATTACAAAAATCACTCAGTTTTCTTCTCTGCCGTCAAAGGTTTCCAATCTAAAGGTTATGGAAGGGGAGGTCCAAAAGTGGGCTGAGAGGGACCAAGGAAAACCTGACAATCAATTCATCCGTTGTGCTGACAGAGGTAGTAACCCAGGAATTAGTTAGCAGAATACCTGGAAGGGGAGTCAGGTTCCTGGGTGATATTTTATTTTTGAAGAAAAAATTTAAAAAAATAATTATTAACATTGGTTCAGTAATTAGACTTTGGGTTAAGAGTCTAGAGTATCAAGGCAAACTCATTTTAGATTGTTAAATCATATTTATTGATTTTTATGAATGCGGAGATCAGAGGCCAACTGGCAGGAGCCACCCTCCTTCCACTATGGGGGTCCCGGGGAGCTAATTCAGATCATCGGGTGGCGAGAGCTTTTCTCCCACTGGCCCAGGGCAAAATTTCTATCTTAAATTACAGAAAAAAAAAATCTGCCTTAGCTTTATGTAAGTTGTCAATAATATAATTTTATCTTTTCCCTTCAAAGAGGCACATACACTGTGTTAGTGTATTCAGTACCCTCCTCACTTATAGCTCAAGATTATATTAAACTCAGAAACAGCAACAAAATGATTAAAAAACCCAAACGATCATAGAAAAACAATAGCATATGTGTGTTAGGCTGGGGGAGTAAAAGATTATTCCATTGCTAGACCTGGTGGTGCTAATCTTTAATCCCAGCACTCGGGAGGAAGAGGCAGTTCAAGGCCTCTATAAAGAGAGTTTATAAACGTCTATAAAGAGAGTTCCAGGGCAGCCAGGGCTACACAGAGAAACCCTGCGTGTGTGTGGAGGGGTATTCAATCAAAATACTCATTTTGTATGATTTGATCGTTTGTGAGTTAGTTAAGTATAGTAACATCAATAATTTAGACATCAGTTTACTCAAGTATTTGCTTATTAACTGGTATTTTTATTTAAGTCTTGGCTAGGAATGGTGCCTAAACCTTGTCAGGTATAAAGGAAATTCCATTTCCCCAAATTCCAAAAGGCTCTCTGTGGTGCCTATTAGCACACCAAAGCACACATTCTTTCACAAGTCCCTGTTAGCTCTTCTCCCCCTCCGCCCCTCCCCTAACCTCCCTCCCCCAGCTACCCCTTCTCTGTCTCCCTCCCCCATCTCTCTGCTCAGTTCCTCCTCTCACAGCCAGGCCCAGTCTCTGCTCTGGACCTTTCTGGATGTCTCTGGATGTTCCCCCTAACCGTACTATGGAGCAATCCTGTCGTCGGTTTATACATACTTGTGATTCTAGGAGCCTGAGTCACCAGAATAGTGATTTTAAGGCTAGCTGGAGCTACTTAACAGTAATCTGTCTCAAAAGAAACAACAACAACAAAAAAATAGTTTTGACATATTAAAAAAAACCACATTATAACACCCCTCTGTAAAGATAATGTTGTTATAAAGGTTTTACTAATCTGCTTGGAAGACAATAAATCACAGAAAATAGACTTTTGTCATAGACTGCTCCTTCAAAACCACACCAAAAGTGTTTGCTGACCAGGCCTGTTAGAGATGAGTGAAATTTAAGATGCTAAGAAAGTGTTGTTTCCCAGGATTGAGCAGGCATTGGGCTCCGTTCCCATAACAAAGGAGACAACTCTGATTTACACGCAGCCTTTAGGCTGTCCCCTTATCAAAGAACAGTCCTCTAAAGGGCTGCAAGGAGCAGTACAGGGTCACAACCAAAGTCCAGGCCTGCCATAAAGCCCCCAGTGCTGAGAACAGATCATTCTGCCCTGGCAAGAGGACCCGGATAACAATGGAAAAGTATACAGTGGTATACTTAAAATAGTTCTGGCGGTAGGTAGTATCTGCCGTGCAAATCTCTCATCGGCCTAAAGGGCCAGACTTGTGTCTCCTGGCTGTTTAAATTGTTCAAAGTCTAACCTGGGCCAGGACCTGAAGGAGATTCAAGGATGACAGTACACGTGGAATGCAGAAGCCTCAAGTGTCCCTAAGCGAGGTCCCTAGCTCACTAGGCCAGCTCCACTCTGAGCGGTCGCCAGAGCTGGACGGGCGATATCTTAAAGAGCTTTTTCCTCTAATAATCTCTAAGGGTGCAGGACGATTTCTCACTGGGAAGGCTTATTAATTCTAAAACACAGAAAGAAATCCTCCTCTGGTTTCCTCAGTGGGCTGGGGCAGAGGCAAGGGGAGGAGGAGGAGGGAGAACTGTGGTTGGAACGTAAAATGAAAATTTTTAAAAAACGCAGTTGTGAGACTGAAGAGATGGCTCAGTGGTTAAGAGCACTGGCTGCTCTTCCAGAGGTCCTGAGTTCAATTCCCAGCAACCACATGGTGGCTCACAACCATCTGTAATGAGATCTGGTGCCTTCTTCTGGTGTGCGGGCATACATGGATGCAGAATGTTGTACACATAATTTAAAAAAAAATGCAGTTGTGCCCCAAAATAAATAAATAAAAAATAGTTTCCATAGGTCACTAGATAAAGATCTTTTTGAGAAGCAATTTCTCATATTAGAAACTTTAAAAGCTGTGCATTAACACTATTACTACTCTGCATCTTTATGACTACTTGTGGGCGCACATGTGGAGATTACAGGACCATTTGCCAGGCAAAGACTCTTATCCAAGAAGCCATCTTGCATGCCCTAAAAACTCTGTAAACTTTAACAAGTCGGAGCCTCTGGGTTTGAGCTCCACACTGGAACAAACACAGGGCTCTACACCTGGCAATGAATGTTCATTCCTAGTGCAAGGAGCGCGTTCGTAATTGACACCTTTTCTACAACACTGCACAAATGAGGTTTGCTCTGAAGAGAGAAAACACAAACAATGATTCCTGACGAAACAACTTCCGAAGTGACAGCCACTGACCTGGAATCATATCCCCAGTGCATGGCGTAGATCTTGGCGAGGTGGCCACGCAGCGTGCGCCTCGTTCGCATTTGTATCCGACCCACGGAGTCCATATTAGACGTGATCTTTAGAAAGTGACAACAGCGTTACTCTTTACCTTACACATGGCGTAGATAAAAAGCAGAGACAAATTCGCAGCAGCCAAAGGTGATTCGGTGCAAAGAGAACAAGAGCATCGCTGTGAGTTCAGTTCACAGAAACCATGATTAACAGGGGTCATCCTGTGTGCTGCTGGGACTGAGGAGGCTTTTTCAGCCGAGGAGAACTGCAGTAAACAGACATCCAAACTTTAGCAAAACTCCAACCACAGGGAGAAGGAAGAGGGTGAGTGGGCAGGCTGCCCTGCAGGACGGCTTCTGAGCTGCTCATCAAGAGAAACACGCCAGCCCACAAATACTTTAAAGGTTTTATGTATTCTTGTATGGGTGCAGTGTGTGGGGGGTGGTGGTGGAGGAGAGAGACAACAGGAGGAACAAGCTGAGGTCAGAGGGCAACTTCCTTGTGGTGGGCGCCTTTCCTGCTTCCACCGTGCTCCAGTTCTGGGGATCACACTGAAGTCTTCAAGCTTGCATGGCAATTGCCTGGCCTCAAGCCCTCCACCAAACATCCACCAAACATCTACCGGCTAGCCCCCATCAGATAGTTTTTAAAGAACTGGGGGGGGGTGCTTGGGTCTCTCAACACAAAGCAATGACCCTGATTTGATGCCCCACATAAGTATCCAGCAGTCACAGTGTGTCTATAATATGGACACACTATGTTTCGATAGGAAAAAAAAAGTGCACCAGTCACAGAGGAAACTAGAAATAAGTGACTAAAGAAGAGTCTGTAAGAAAGCCATGGAGCTGGAGAGATGGCTCAGCAGTTTAAGAGTACTGGCTGCTCTTCCAGAGGACCCAGATTCAATTCCCGGCATCCACATGGCAGGCAGCTCACAGGCATCTGTAATTCAGTTCCAGGGGATCTGACATCTGACTCTTCCCTCTGGCCTCTGAGGGACACACACACACACACACACACACACACACACACACGAGTGCACAGAAAAACAGCTTAGTCAGCATATACGAAAAGACTCAGAAAGTGCTTAAGAATAAGCACGAACTAGACACTCTTGCACGTCACGGCGCTTGCTGTCCCGCAGACTCCTGTTTCAGCACTGTATCTGTGGACAGCACCTTCGGTAACAAAGGTCTGGATGTCACCCGTACAGTGATGCGTCACATGAACTGCTGACATGAACTGGGGACACTTTACCTGAACCAGCGTGGCATCATTGCAGGCCTTCCTAGCATCCTAGAGCAAAGAAAAATAACATGTTAAGATGGGGGAACCTCTAAATTAATAGGCTGTGCTTATTGAAAATAAACCTTTACTGTATCACATCATCTTATTTTTAAATTTTTCTGAAATATACTTTACCTAACATAAAAGCGGCCATTTTAAGGTACACAATTTTGCAGTTTTTCAGTACATTCAGAATTGAACCACACCATGATCCAATCTAGGACATGTTTACCATGTCTATCTGTCTGTCCCCAATCTACCCAATCCCCTTTTCTGCCTCGGCTTCTCCTCCCTCCACTCTGTCCTTTCAGTGTGGACCTGCCAATCAGACCTCTCTTGTAAATCAAGTCACACAGAACACGGCTTCTTCTGCTTTGCATGTTTGCATGTTTCAGTTATGTTACTGCATGTTACTGTATGTTATGGCCTCAAGCCATGTGCCTCCACTTTAAGGCGGACGGTTCTTTTTTTTATATTTATTTATTATGTATACAATATTCTGTCTGTGTGTATGTCTGCAGGCCAGAAGAGGGCACCAGACCTCATTACAGATGGTTGTGAGCCACCATGTGGTTGCCGAGAATTGAACTCAGGACCTTTGGAAGGGCAGGCAATGCTCTTAACCTCTGAGCCATCTCTCCAGCCCCAAGGCGGACGGTTCTAATGGATGATTTTTCAGCATTCTATCTCGTAGTTGAGAATTTTTGGGCATAGATAGTTTCCACCTTCCAGTAATTTCAAAGCATGATGCTGTGTTCCCACGGTTTCCATCTCTTTGGATGTCTACCTGCTATGGTTCAGAGCTGCTGCACCAGCGATGCCCAGGGCTCCAGCTCCTTAGCTCTTCAGGTCACTGCCAACTCTTATGATAGTCTGTGCTTTTAGTTACAGCCATCTTAGTTGTGAAGTGTCTCACTGTTGTTTGGATTTTATCGTGAATCTTTCCATGCACTTCCTGTGTGTGTGTGTGTGTCTGCCTGTCTGTGAGTATAAATCTGTACATGTGCCGGGCAGTGGTACACGTTTTTAGTCCCCAGGGAGGCAGAGGCAAGCAGATCTCTGTGAGTTTGAGGCCAGTCTGGTCTACAAGAGCTAGTTCCAAGACAGGCTCCAAAGCTACAGAGAAACCCTGTCTCAGAAAAAAAAAATCTGTGTATGTACATTGTTGGTGTGCATCTGTGTTTGTGTCTGAGTGTGATGTGTGTATGCTTGTGTATCTGTGTTTCTATGTCTTTCAGGGGATCTCTTTTAAAGCTTTTGCCAATTTTTAGACCAGGTTGTCTTTTTATTGCCCAAATAGTAGTTCGTTACTTATTCTAGATACTTGACCCTTACAAGATGTACAATTTTCAAACTTGATAGTTTAAATATATATTTTGTTTTTAATTTATGCATATATATATATATATGTGTGTGTGAATTGCCTGCAGAGGTCAGGAAAGTGTTAAATCCTTGGAGCTGGTTATAGGTAAGTTGTGAGTCTGCTGATGTATGCTCTGAGAACAGAACTTGGGTTCTCTGTAAGAGCAGCAAGCTCTCTTAACCACTGAGCCATTTTTTTTTTTGCCCCTTGATAGTTTTTTGACATATAAATATTTATATAATGAGATATAATTTTCTGAGTTTTTTCTTTTGTTGTTGAATTTTTGACATCATATTTAATTGGAGTCCTGAGAGAATGTGTATTATTGACATGACTATGACCATGTCAGGGACCCCAGTGTGTCAGACCCATGGGAGTGGCAAAGTCTTCCCTGGTCAGGTTCACAGGACTGGTACAGCCTTTCTCCTGGACCGGGTGTGGGTGTTAACAAATGACTGACCTTTACCTAGAACCAGTGTGTGCAAACCCTGCCAACCCCAGTTTCCCCCTCCTGGATGACTGCAGCCCGAGACGGCTCCCTGATGGAGTTCTCTTAGCTACCCACCGTCTCCTGGCTGAGTCGCTGACTGAACAGGCCGCTGTGGTGTGCCTCCAGAAGAGCGCGTGGCCTACCTGATCCAGGGTTTCTGTGAGTATTCCTGTCATGTTTTTCATTTCTGTCACCCAGTTAGGGCAATCCCCAGACCGTGTAGGCCATGGCAGCTATTTCCTAATCGAAGGTTATAAAGATCTGCCAGGCTTACTTCCGAGAACTTTACATCATAAATTTGTTTTACCTTTTGGGTTTGTTTGTTTGTTTGTTTTGTTTTGTGTTTTTCTAAACAAGGTTCCTCTGGTAGCACTGGCTGTCCTGTAACTCACTCTATAGACCAGCCTGGCCTCAAATTCACAAGAGATCCGCCTGCCTCTGCCTCCCAGGCACTGGGATTAAAGGCGTGCGCCACCACACCCAGCTTAAATTTTATTTGTTTTATCTAAGTGTTCTGTCTGAATATGTCTGTATACCATGCACATGCCTGGTGCCTTCAGAGGGAATAAAGGCGCTGGTCCCCTGGAACCGGAAGTAAAGATGGTTGCAAGCTACCCCGTGGGTGCTGGAAATGGAACCAAGATCTTCTGGAAGAGCAACCGGTGCTCCTGACTTCTGAGCCATCTCTCTAGTCCCTGAGAGCTGAAACTGTAAAAGCATCCTGCATTCAAACACTGTGACTGTCGCCATCAATAAGCACTTTTGGTGTATGGGTCCAGCGTGTAGGGATGCAGCTTGGGATTTTTCTAATTTTATTTTTTATATTTAGTGCTGGGATGGATCTCAGAACTTTACACGTCCTAAATACCGGCTCCACCACTGAACTACACCCCCAGGTGCAGCAAAGCCACCTTTCCCGTTAAAGGCAGCGAGTCTCTCCCTGGAGAGCACGTTCTGTTGGCTGCTCTTCGTCCTTTTGTCTTCTCACCCCCTTCTTTCTCACAGCATCTCTACAGACTTTTACACTGTCCTGAACAGTGTATGATGCTAAACCTTCCGAATGCTCCTCATGTGGCGCTGACCCCAAACATAAAATTATTCTCATTGCTATTTCATTGCTCTAATTTGTCTACAGTTAGGAGTCGTATAATATCTGTGTTTTCTGATGGTCTTAGGAGACCCCTGTGACCCCCCTAGGGGGTCGCAACCCACAGGTTTAGAACCACTGGTCTTGAACTAGCCAATCATCCGTGCTGGCAAGGCCCCCACACATCCCAGGTCAGCGGGGCTTCTCCTGCTTTGCGCTTCACTTGCACTTTTCTCTGTAAACAGAAGCAGGCAGCTACTGAACTACTTAGAGCACAGTCTCCTTCCTCCACCGGCTGCCAAGAGGCTATGTATGGCATCCTTTCATTTCTAGTTTTCCTTCCTGGATGCTCCCCGGTTCCCAAAAGTTAAGTGTCTGTTTCACTGTTTGTTGCCCCTTGGGCCACTTACTTCCCCGGACTCGCTTACAGACTCCTCCCCTGGAGCTTTCCCACAGCCCGGGGCAGCTCTTCCCCACAGAAGGATCCAAAAGTCTCAGCATCTTTTGTTTGTTTTTGAGGTGGACCAGGCTAGCCCTGAACTCAAGTCTCCTGCCCAAGCCTAAGCAGAGAGCTACCAAAGGCCTGTGCCACTGCCACCGATTGGTATTCTAGGTGTCCTTCGGTTTATCTGTCCCTTCTCTACCGCGCACCTCTGTCCTTTAGAATGCTTGTTTTGCAACATAATACTATCGAGATAAAATTGCTTCAAGTTATGTGCTAAGATCTGCCCCACAGATCCTATTCAAAATCTCAGTGTGTGAAGAAGAGGCTTTTTAAATGCTTTCCATTGGCATATAATAACTATGGCTATCACTACATTTTCATCTGTGCGGAGACTGGTTTCGGTCACACCGATCCCTTCCTGGATGAGAACTCATCACACTTGTCTGTCAGCTAGATTCGGCAGTCTACTCTTCATTCATTTTAAAATTTTACCTTCCGTGTGGGGGCATGCTCGCCACAGCACACATGTGCAGGTCAGAGGACAGACGTCAGGAGCCTGTTCTTCCCCTTCCATTGTGTAGGTCAGTGACAGAACTCAGGTCACCAGGCTTGGCACCAAGCACCTTCACCCACTGAGCCATCTCACCCGCCCTACGTGTGCTTCTCATTTTTCTATTCATTTTTTTCAGTGTAAGGTGCCCTTTGCCAGCATGGGTAGTTGTTTGGAATGATTTGGGGGAGAGTTCTCTAGAAACATGATGGAAACACCTTAACCATTTCCATACTGTGTCCACGAGACAGGGTGTTGCCTAGCCCAAGCTGGCTTCTGAGTAACAAGGTAACAAAGTAACAAAGGCTGACCTTGAACTCCAGACCCTCCCGCCTCCCTCTCCTGAGTGCTGAGGTTGCAGGTGTCTGACTTCACAGCTTGCTCAGGCCAGCCGCTTCTAGCCTCATGAAGGATTTGATAGTGCTGACGGTAAACTAAACTGCAGAAACGAAGCTAAGCGGCTAGGCTTCCAAGCAGGGCCCTTCCTACCTGGATCTGATTCCGCAGCTGCTCAGCTTCCTGCCTCAACTGTTCCAGCTCGCTCATCCTTCGTGGCCGGTTTCCTCAGGCGTCCTATGCAGAGGACTAAGGGGAGGGGGTCAATTAATTTCTATTTTAACCGACACGTGAAGCATGAAAACATATCTTCTTAGTCCTTCCCAATGTAAACAAAACAAGCACTATTACTAGAACGTCAAACTGCTTGATATATAAGCAACCAGATCGTTTACAAAGCGATTTTTTAATTTATTTATTTATTTATTATGCATACAATATCCTGTCTGTGTGCATGCCTGCAGGCCAGAAGAGGGCACCAGACCCCATTACAGATGGTTGTGAGCCACCATGTGGTTGCTGGGAATTAAACTCAGGACTTTTGGAAGAGCAGGCAATGCTCTTAACCTCTGAGCCATCTCTCCAGCCCCCTACAAAGCGATTTTATGCAAAAGTATGACACGAAGGTTGTCAAGACCAACATGGAGTCTTTTCTGCCAAACCTTCGATGACGGAATGCGCTTGTCCACACACATGCATACCTATGAAGGAATGTTCAGAAATAAACTCTTTATGAAGGGGAACCTGCATACATATGTGCCCACAACAGAATATTCAGGAATTTCTGCAAAGGAACATCCCACCTAAGTGATTTGAACATAGCCAGCTCCCCCATGAGCCTACACCAACTCCAGACACAGCAGAGTGAGCAATGCTTTTTGCTTCCAGCTTAGATAAACATTCCTCTTTGTCTCCTCTTTTCTTTCCCCCTTTCCCTTTTCGTATCCCAGCATCCTCAGATGCAGACATGCTGGCCTCCAGCCTTTTTCAGAATCACAATTATCCATGGCTCCTCTCAGCTCTTTTTACCCTGCCCCTACCCTAAACATCACGGGCTTCCCTTCCCCTGGCTTCTCAATTCTATATAACCTTGGTTCTTTGGCCCCTCTCTCTTGGCCTTCTCCTCTTCCTCTCTTGCTCCCTCCACCCCTCTCTCCTCGCTCATGGCCCAGAACAGTCTACTGGCCATGTTCAGTGCAGTACTTTCTCTCCCTGCTCTGGACTCTTTCGGTTGCCTCTGGCTCTGCTCTTCTGTGTCTACAACAGAAACCTTCTCCTCGACCACACCTCCGAGCAGTCAGTCCCCCCATTATACATTTGGTGCCGCAAAACCCCACCATCTACAGAGAGTTGGTCTTTCTATCACTTATTTTAGGTCAACGATGATCAGAAGATGAGGGGGAAGACCTTGAGATGGGGTACTTAAGACCAAACCATAGGAACTGATAACAGACAGGTCCACGGAGAGCCTGCCTTGTGATTTTTTGTCTGTCCTTGTTTGTTTGTTTTTGAGACAGGGTTTCACTATGTAGATCAGGTTAGCTTCCAACTCAGAGAATCAACTGACTTTGCCGCCCCCCCCCCCCCCAGATTAAGGCATACACCACAGCTGCCAGCCTAAAGCTGGTTTGAATGGATCCTTCTGCTTCCACCTCCCAAGAGCTAGAATAACAGATGTGGTGGCTGGAATAGGAATGGCCCCATGGCTCATATATCTGAATGCTTGGTCCTCAGTTGGTGAAACTCTTTAGGAAGGATTAGGAGGTGTGGCCTTGTTGGAGTAGGTGTGGCTTTGTTGGACGAGATGTGTCACTGGTGGTGGACTTTGAGGTTTCAAAAGCCCATGTTCTTTGCCTCCAGTCAATGGGTCAGGATTTGAGCTCTCAGCTACCGCTCCAGCACCACGCCAGCCTGCCTGCTGTCACTCTTCCCACCATAATGGTCATGGGTTCACCCTCTGAGACAGTAAGCAAACCCCCAATTAAATGCTTTCTTTTATAGGTTGCCTTGGTCGTGGTGTCTCTTCACAGCAATAGAAGAGGTGTGGACCACCATACCCAACTTGGGTGGCTTTACATGCAACTCAAACTTAATATTTCAAAGCTGATCTCCAACATACCCCAATTCCTCTGTATTTCAGTCAGTGGTGATTCTATTACTGTAATTATTTGAGCTTTAAAAAATCCTGGGACTCATCCATTTCCACTTCCCTCAGAACTTCCTGTCTATCCCATTAGCGATCCTGTCCCCTCTCCCAGGGGCTGATGCAGTCTGCGGGCCTCTACTGCTATTAATCTGGCCAAGTCACCATCCTCTCTCACCTGATCTGTGTTTTCCTGCTCATGTCTAGAGCACGCATCTCAGAAGGTAAGTCCTTCTGTGTTAAAATCCTGCAGCGTTAGCCACTCTCAAATTCTCTGTGCATACATGCATTTGTGCATGCAAGCGAGCACCCCCCCCCCCCCACAGCTCTTGTGAAAGCCAGAGGACAACCTGGGTGTCTTAGGGTCACTATTGATGTGATACAACACCATTACCAAAGCAACCTGCAGAGAGGGGAAGGCTAACCTGGCTTACATCCCATCACTTTTCATCATTGAAGGAACTCAAAGAGGGCAGAAACCTGGAGGCAGTAACTGATGCAGAGACCATGGAAGGGTGCTGTGTACTGTATTGCTCCTCATGGCTTGTTCAATGTGCTTTCTTACAGAACCCAGGGATGGTTCCACCCATAATGGGCTGGGTCTTCCTTAGTCAATCACCAATCAAGAAAATGCCCTACAAGCTCACTACAGTCAGATCTGATGGAAGCATCTTTTCAATTTAGGTTCCCTCCTCTCAGATGACTTTAGCTGGTGTCAAACTGACATAAAGCTATCCAGCACACTGGGGTATCACTTCTTATGCCCTGTCCACCATCTTTTGAGACAGGGTCTCTCATACTAGCCTGGAGCTCACCACGCTGGTCAGACTGGTAGCCTATCAGCACCAGAGGTCTGCAGACCTCTGTCTTCCCAGTGCTGTGGGATAAGTTTTTTTGTACACTGTGAAGATGTGTCTCTGCCAGGCACCTTCTAATTGGCTTAATAAAGAGTTGATGGCTAGTAGCTAGGCAGGAGAGGCTAGAATGGACTTCCAGGGAGAGCTAGAAACTCTGTGAGAAGAAGAGAGGCGGGATTTGCCAGCCAGACATGGAGGAAGTAGGACATACTGTACTGAGGAGAGGTAGTGAGGAGCCACATGGCAGAATGCAGATCAACATAGCAACAAAAATGCGTTCATCTAAGTTTTAGTTTGTTTGTTTGTTTATTTTTTAAGATAGGGTTTCTCTGTGTAGCCTTGGCTGTCCTGGAACTTGTTCTGTAGATCAGGCTGGCCTCAAACTGCCTCTGGCTCCCAAGTTCTGGGATTAAAGGGTGCACCACCAATGCTCCCAAGTGGTGGCTGGTCCCAGGCAGGGAGACACGTGGTGGGTGGGCAAGAGACAGAGACATGGATAGGCACAACATGCAGAGTGAGGTTGAATATTTATTCAGGGGGTTATAGAGGGGGAAGGGAGAAGGGGGGAGAGAGAGAGAGAGAGAGACAGAGACAGAGAGACAGAGAGAGAAGGGGGAAGCGGAGAAGTGGGGAGAGAGGCAGAAGCAAAGCAGCTGTCTCTCCGAGAGGAAGACAGAAAAGAGAGCAAGCTCAGGCTGGAGGCTGAAGATCAGCCTGCCTCAGCGGATGGGGGAGGGAGTGGGCGTGGCTTGTTTCTTAAAGAGACACAACAATCATTACAATGAGCCTAAAAGTCTCAAGAAGGATTTGAGAGACAGAGGGAGGAGGATTATAAATTCAAAGTCAACCTCCGCTACACAGTGAGCCCAAGTCAGCCTGGGCTACATGAGAGGGGGAAAGGGGAAGAGAGGGAGAGCAGGAGGAAGGAGGGGGAGAGGGGAGGGAAAACGAGCAAAGAAAGGAAAAGACAGCATCAAGAATTTTTATTTTTATTTTTTGTACCATGCATATGATTGCCTGCATTTAGGTTTATGCACCACATGCATGCCTGGATGCATCTCTGGAACTGGAGCTGAACCTGAGTCCTCTGTAAGGCAAGCAAGTGCTTAACCACTGAGCCATCTCTCCAGTCTCACATCTGCACTTTTAAAAAGCAACTCCTGAAATCCAAGGCTACAACCAATCACCGATGAACAGGGCACGTGCACAGAGAGGGGTCAAGCAGGGAGCACTGCAGGACCAATATCCAGGTGAAACTCTTCCAAAATTAGGGGAATGCAAACACAGTGACAGCAACAAAAGCCAGGGTTCCCATTACACACGACATAGATAAGTCACAAAAACGCCATGGAGAGAAAAGCCCGGTACAATATCGCGTACAGAATTTTAACAAAAGCAATGAAAACCAAACAGTGTATTAAGATGTATGAATATTGCCAGGTGTACACATCTGTGATCTCTGTCTGGGGAGGTGGAGGCAGGAGGATCAGAAATTCAAGGTCAGCCTTGCTTGCATAGGGAGTCTTGATGTCAGTCTGAGCCAAAAGAGTCCCCCTAGCTTAAAAAACCCAAAGAAGAAAAAGTATAAATAACACACCTTAACTTCTTTAAGGGAAAGAATGATAAAACAGTCTAGGAACACAACTTGTCATAAGCAGTAGCTCACAGTCTGATTCCTCCGCTGGGCAGCGATCAGAGAGCGAACACTACTCATAACCAAGCACGCTCCATCCAGCCCCCGAGGCTCCCTGGGAACCATGAGTTAAAATCAATGAAACAAAACACAGGGAGAACAGAACGTGAGGCTGAGACAAGTTGTTTGACAGCAGGGAAAGGCTGAGATTGCAGTCCACACACACCTGGCACCTGGCAACACCCATCCTCCACGATGCCTCTCTCCAAAGGGTGTCTCCTTCAGTCTGCTGGAGTACGAATCCCACCTCTGTACCTTAAACTCTATCTCTGTGACCGTCACAAGATCCAGCCTCTCACACTCTCTTGGACTTGGCTGTTCACCTTCTGTTTCTTCGTAGCCCCTGCTTTATTCATTTCTCAGATCCTTGCTTTTCTCAAGAGTCTAGGTTCACACAGCTAATTGAGAAACTCCCCTCCCGGGAAGAAGGAAAGATAAAAAGGAATCCGAGATACTTATGGGACACCTGGGGGCCGGGAGATGACTCCGTTGGCAGAGGGCTCGCCATGCAAGCACAAGGAACTGGGTTCCAGCCCTCAGAACCCACGAACAAAAGTCAGTGGGGT